GCCGGTTTCCATGACACAGCGCTGCGCGTGGTTTGTCACTCTGCTCATGGAAACAGGCTCCGGCGATGGGCACAAACCGCCATGGACACTGCTGGCAATGCCCACTGCGGAGCCACGGTGAGGGCAAAGGCATCATGAGAGAGCGGCAGGAGTTGCCGGAGGCAGAGGAGGGGGATAAACGCCAGGGACACCTCTCCGGCAGCACCCAGGACCACCTCCCTCGCTTACCATGATGGCGACCCCAGAAAACATGACGGCGGAAACCAGCTGCCAGACCCTGCGTGGGAGAGAACACAGAGGACCCGGTGTGAGCGCGGGGGCAATCCCGTTGCTCCAACTTCACAAAGCGTTTCCAGCTGCCTGCTTGGGCATCAGCCTTCATCCTCCCCACCTCGCACAACCGAGGCAGCCAGGAGCCTCCCGCAGGAAAACATGGCTCCCCACGTCCCGCTAGCTCCAGCCTCAGCTGGCAGACTGGCCTCGCCGGTGGGACGGAGCTGAAACCCCCCTCACCCAAGCAGAGAGGGGTAAGGACCCTGCCAAGAGGATGGCACAGAGCAGGGATCCCCACAGACACAACATCCTGCCTCACATGAGACCAAGAGCTCCTCCAGCCCCCAGCACCTGCTATGGGACAGGAGCTCAAGGGTCTCAGCAGAGAAGAAACCAGACCTGGGCTGGTTCCACAGCCACCAGAAGCCCCTGCATGGAGCAGTGATGCTGGCACGGCAGCAGAGCTGCTGGCAGCAACCAGAGCTGGCAGGGATGCTGTGGCCGAGGGCTCTCAGACAACCCAGCTCCAAGGTGGCCCAACACCTTACCTGAGCCCCAGCGGTTCCCGGACAGCAAACTTGATTTCATTTCCCAGTACTTGGCTAATCTGAAATTCAAATAAAAGACAAGAGGTGACTGAGCAGACCCTTCCCCAGCCTTTAGGCAGTATTCCCAAAACCACATACCTAACCCCACGTGGGAGTTTAGCTCTCAGAGGGCTGGAAGGAGGACAAGGCGCTGGCACAGGTTGCCCAGAGAAGCTGTGGCTGCCCCATTCCTGGAAGTGTTCAAGGCCAGGTTGGATGGGGCTTTGGGCAACCTGGTATAGTGGAGGGTGTCCCTGTCCATGGCAGGGGGGTTGGAACTAGATGATCTTTATGGTCCCTTCCAACCCAAATCATTCCATGAGTCCATGATTCTATGACAAGGGATTCATCCGTGACCCCTTGGTCCCAACACCTGCCAAAGGCTGCCTTGATTTCCATCAGGAGCTGCAGCCTCTAATTCTCCCTTACTGGGATCAGCCACATACCATGTGGGGCTGGGCAGGGTCAACACTAACTCTTGTCTCCTCTTACCTAAGTAGGGAGCTGCCCCCCACCACCCCATCCCCATCCCAGTAGAGCACAGGCTCCAGCAGAGCCCTCAGGGCATCACAGTGTCCCTCCTGCTCTTGCGTTTGCACTGCCCGGAGCGATGCCTGGCTGCAACATCCCCAAACCACACAGATGGGAAGGCTGTGCAGACCAGGGAAAGGTACCAGGTGACCTTTTGGTTGCAGGGAGCTCCAAGAGGGCTCTGCGCTGCTCCCCACGCGCAGGCAGGAGCCGGGCAATGCCCTGCCAGTCAGATGGGAAGGCTGTGCAGACCAGAGAAAGGTACCAGGCGACCTTTTGGTTGCAGAGAGCTCTGCACTGCTCCCCATGCGCAGGCAGGAGCCGGGCAATGCCCTGCCAGCAAGTTCTCCAGAGAGGATCCAAGGCAGGGCTCCTGCAGGGCTCTCCCCTGTCCTCCAGCTCTGGTATTTCACCGAAACAGGTTTGTCTGCAATTCAGGTCTCTTCCAACAGGCACCGCTTAAATGGCTGCTCCAGTGTCCAGGCCACCAGCTGGTGGGCATCGGTGGTGCCACGGTGCTACGGCACCAGCTCTGAGCTACCTCATGGGTGTCTTGGCAATACAATTTCAGGAATGGATTAAAGCATCTTGAGGGCAGAGCTCGCCCCATTACCACAAAAAGCCATTTGGGGCAGCTGCCGTGCACCCAGCAGGCTGCATGGCCCATCGCTGCTCAAAGGCAGCATCGCTCGTGCCACCATCACCTTCATCTCTCATTTTACACAAGTCCCGCAGAGCTGGGAGCCCTGTTTTTGCAAAGGAGGCTGCAGAAGTTAGATGCTGAGAATAAAAAAAAAAAAAAAAACACCCCTTTGGATATTAGGAAAAAATTTTTTTC